TTTACCGGCATTCCTGAAAGCATATCTCCTTTCTATAATTTTGTACGAGGATTTCTATTTCGTCCGTTAAGTTTCGTCCATTACCGATTTTCGATTTTGTAGTTCGATTATTCGCACACCGAAAAGCAAAGAAAAAGAAGAAGAAGAAGAAGAAGAAAAAAAAAAAAAGGAAAGAATGGTTCGATCCTGTACTTTTGAATACTTTCACGACCAACGGGTTTAGGACATCAGGAAAGGGAAAGCAGGAAATTTACGAAGACAATATTGCATACGTATAAGTGACTAAATGAAGATTAAAAAAAAAAAAATTATATATATATATGAATATAAATATATAAATATAAAAATATAAATATAGATATATAAAGATAGAGATATTCGCTCTGATTCGGGAGTATTTGCAACCTGCTCGCCTCGATGTATGTATGTACGTACTATTCAAAGTAACACACACAGAATTACAGCGTAATTTTTGCCAGCTTTCGCGCATCGGCATCGGTTATGTCTCCGCTAAACTTCCTAAACTATTACGTGAAAACTACTTAAAGAGGGGGAGGGGGGGGGAGAGGAGGAGGAGGAGAAAACAAAAACGAAGTGATTGAACTTTAAAAAAAAGAAAACGAATACTCGTACGAATATGGTGAAACAAAAAACGAAATATAGGAAAACGAGGAGAGAAATAGAGAAAAAAAAAATTGTTAATGATTGTTGATGCAACGATTTAAGAGAGAGAGAAAAAGGAAAAAAAAATGAGCACCGTACGATGCCTTCCGTGAACGACCGAGCTTGCCTAGTTACCGAAATAATATAGAAATTCAATGATTCGATCTCGATATGAATTCTCTCGTCGAAAGTAATCGTTATACCCGCGGTGCTTCCCCCCCGATCTCGGGCGATTGTTGAACTCTAACCGCGGACAATAAAGTAGAGCGAGTGAAATCGCGTGCCATATACCCAATGTACATGTAGAAAAAAATCGTCGTAAAAATTGCACTGGACATTAGACACTCGTGCTCGATGAAAAGCATTCTGTACGAATTCCACGAGGAGGCTGTATTGTGATTTTTCTCTAAAAAAAAAAAAAAAAAA